TTCTGTCGACTCATCCCGGGGTTGTAGGTCAGTGGCTCTTGAGTAAGAAATCAGCTGTCAGTGAAGCGTGCATATTATATCCGTGCAGAATACATAACAGTGATCACGATCCATCCATCCATTTGGACTAAGTAAGCAGGAGTTTAGCAATTAGAAATCATATATACCCGATGGGCTTGCTTATCTCCTCCACACCTTTCAAGAAGGATATTCCTACATCGTCTAAACTGATTGTATATTTACACATAAGATGATATGGCCTTTGATGATTTTGTTCGGTGTTGCCCGAGCTTCAAGATTTGTTCTTGGAAGTTTGGTCACCAGGTTAGTGATGGTGAACAATTATCATCCTTATCCTGAGGCACAAATCTTTCCTACAAAGTGTGTTGATTAGCTGTGAAAGTGTTTATGAATTCTAGACCTGTATGAAGAATCTGATCTGGAATACTGTCTGTCATAGAGAAAATTGAATCTTGTTAGGCATATTTGAGTTAGCCACGGTTCGACAGACTAGTATTTTTCATACGAAGTTAAGAGCTAACCACTGGCTGGTTTCATATCTCAGTTGGTGGAACTCCAAGCCGACAGGATTTCACTATAGAGCTAACAGTAAGGAGATGTGGCTCATCGGTTATAACAAAAAAAACTTGACCTTCATACAATAAGCCGGTCACAGGTTTGAACCCGACCCTAGCTGCTTCAACCACCTGTCAACCGGGTAAAATTATAGATCATCACACTGTAAGTTTGGCTCAAAGCTTAATGCACATGTAACGATCACAATAACTTCATCATTCCAATAAAACAATGGAAAAACTGTTGCTTCGTGTGCTTGAACCTCCAAGACCCAAATCAATTTGTCTACAAACCCAGAAGGAGTACTTTAGATGGTGCACTTGTTTTACATCATAGCATTCCCAGTTTAGATAAAAGTGGGAAGTACGTTAGATCTGCATTCTTTGACTATACTTGGGCGTTCGATTCTATCTCTCTCTACACCCGTTTTATTAAACAATCTTGCCAGAAATCCCATTGAGTCTTGGATTGCAAACTGGCTTGATTCTTGTTTTTTCTGAGGGAACTGCTGTACTCTGCTAATTAGTGAAGCCGGTGTGCTTCAAGGTGTTGTTCTTTCTCCTTTTCTTTACTCCTTTATCAACTAAAATCAGTGTTTGGAAACTCAAGGAGACATGTTAAAGACGCTTCAGTATATTAACCGAAAGTGGTAATTGGTCTTCATTGAATGACCTCATACTCAACTCCTCCAAATTTCAGATGGTTAATTTTACCTTAAGACGTGAACAACATCGATGTAATTTGCTTCAGTCTTCTAACTCTCGCCTCATAGATAATTCTGTAGTAGAAATAATGTCCAGTGTGATCCATCTTCTGATCTTTCTTGGTCTCCTTATATGTTACTGATTTCCGGGAAAATAAGGAAACTGAGAAAGTCTGGCATAATCTAGCCTCCACTCTTACGTTTCATTAATTCGTGTGTTTTGCTTAAACTTAATCATTATTCCTACTTTGTTCTTCCTTTGACTCCAAGAAAAAGACTACGCTGAATCGCGTAGGATTTTGAAAGCTGTTAGTAGGGCGTGTGGTACACCGATAACCGGAATGCCGCAAAGTTATGCTGTGTATTCTACAGCCGGCTGATGATGAACACACGAACCAAAGACAGACTACCTGACTTCTCCTCTTCTATGTACATTTACCAGTTCAACTACTCCTGTGGAACTAGTTACATTGGACGTACAGTTAGGCAAGTCCATCGTCGAATCGCCGACCATCATCCTTCATCGCTAAGTAAGGGGGAAACCAGATCGATATGAAACTCAATACTCTCACATCTCATTGACACCGACCACCGAGTTAACATTCATAATCCCTTTAAAGTTATTTATCACATTCCTTCTAATCACACCCATGCTCTACGAGTTTGTCATTTACATACAGCAGAAGCCATAGGAATCCACCTAAGCAAGCCAAGTCTGTGTGTTCACAAGAGATTCGTACAGCCTCTTTCTTTGCCTTGGTCATCTGTATAGCTCATTAACCACTTTGCGTAACAGTTCATTTTCCCTCTTTACTTACCATTATACAACATATCGATTATGTGAAGAACCTGTTCACAAAATCTTTCTACTATAATTCATCTATGCTTTAGTTAATTGTCTTAATTAGTGTAAGGGTTTTTATATGATACCGTCGTTGATTCGACCGAATTGATCGGTCTCTATTAGCATATGGGCTCCTGTGCGGATGCCTCAATATTGCCAGCAATCTAATTATGTTAATGATGGATCGTGGCTAGCAGTGGAATCCAGGATGTGCATTTCGTCCTATTTGGAACTCATCAGCTGGATGTACCGGTGGGAACAACACCACTCACTGGGAAGCAGGTACATCCAGCTGACGTGTCCTGAAGAGGACGAAGTGCGCATCCTGGATTCCACTGCTAGCCAGGATCCATCCTTAACTGTTTTAATTACCTGATCAACTATCATCTTCTTGATACTTTGAGATTGATAACCTTTCATTGAACAACTCTCACCACTAGATTGATATGTAATTTTATGTTTTGAAAATGCTACATATATATGAGTGTAGAGCCATTGATGAGGAACTAATTGAAAAGAAATATTCCTTCGCTCACATTGTTTTACTAAATAACCGGGCTGATGAAAGCGGTTGTGGATAGGCATTTGAACTCTTGTAGATAGCTGGCTGGTTGCAACGGATTTGCTGCACCAGATCATTTTGCTGGATTGCATCGATAGGATCTTTCAACCTACAAAGCTTGTTTCTCTCAACGAGTTTGTTAGTTTAACTGCTCGCCATTTTAATCCCAGCCAGACTTGTTAAGAATTCTTCGTTATCCTTCTGAGGTGCCTTCCTTGTATAGCAACATAGCAGAGGCTTTGAATTCTCTCTCAACCCTATCACCATTATTACTATTGGTAGGGGAATTATTATTATAATGCCACGTGTATTACTACTACTGCCATTACTTCTGATATTTTTCTGTCGATTTCTCATGAATTTATTCATAAATTTAGGTGTGTAGTTACTAGGTCACAAGATGTTCTTGATGTGTCTAATTTCTTGTTATAGATTTTCCCATCTACTAGTAAGCTTTTTCATCCTACCACTTAAGCATTCAACAACTAGGCCTACTTTAACTGAAATAGGGTGGGAGGATTCGAAGTTTAAGCAGCGATTCGAATGAGAAGCTTTCCTATAGACACTAGTCTCTACAATTCCATCTTGTGTTCGTGTGCTCTTGCAATCCAACGTTGCTAGGTCACCTTCTTCACTTTCTAAGTCACAGGTAAATTGGATTGCGTTCACTACTGGATTTATATATGCCAAGAATCTGTTGATGTGTTCCCATTTCAGTGGTGTGATAAGAGGGACATCTATCCTTAACTATCGATGAATATATCTGCGACGATAGGACCTCTCGAGCCATGTCGATCAGTATATTTGTATGAAGGCTAATTATGTGGAAACTAACCATTTTCTCATTGTCATCTAAGTGTATGCTGTCTAATCTATGCTGTAAGTCAGGATTTTTAACGATTTCTTATCGGGTCTAACACCATTGCTAAATATTTAGACAAGTCGGAGTGTTTCTTATATCTACTATAACCTTGGCTTATCAATCTTAATACTACTATACATTCTACTGGGATTATTGTTAGTTTTCAGCATTGCATTAAACCACTTTGACTCACCTAGAAATGGCTTCATCCAGCATATCAGATCCCTTATCGATTTCTTAATTTCATTATTATGGTCTTGTTTCTATATGCTCATTCACTTTGTAGATGTAGTCAGATGTATTCATTACAACTGTTGACTGTTGCCTTTATCCAACTTGACAATTACTATACTGTTATCATTTTGTCCGAAACATCATTATCCAGTAAATGATACTGCTCCTTCACTGTGTAATATTTCTAATAAGCAGACTGAAAGGGAATTACAATCGATCACAGTGCCCAAGTTTTACCCTTCGTTATATATATATATATATTGTTGAACAGTCATATTTTTATGATATATTTGAAAATGTTGTACAAGTTGACAGAAGAGGCAGGGAAAATGGGACTTCCTTCAAGTGAACAACATCAACAACAAGCTCAAATCACCATCAAGGGGAGAAATCTAAAGGAAGTAGTCTCTTTCACCTAAACTTAGGCAAGGCGCAGCATCGTTTCAACTACAGGCGGCATAGGCACAGATGAGGACATCAAAGCCAGAATGGGAAAGACACCAAGACAGGTCTTCCTGCATTAATCTGAAATAATCAGTGTGGAGATCTACTGCACTGCACTCAGCATACAACGTGAACAACATCCGGATTTTCAACACTAATCTCAGTCAAGTCAGTCAGTGCTTCTATGTGATGCTTTACAAGACTTGGCACCTTACGAAAAGCATTTCCAACGGCTGCCACCTACGCTCACTCCATACTGAAGATGGAGATCAGATGGCGAGAATAATAAGAATAAGCAACAAGGAAATCTGGTTTGCAACAAACCAACCAGCAGTCTATCGCCCAACAAATATGCTGTAGAAGAAAGTGGAGATGGATTGGATTGGGAATACACTAAGAAGACCGTTTGGAGACATCACACGTCAGGCCAGACCCTCGAGTAGAATCCAAATGGGAAACGACGAGTTTGAGTATCTGAGCCAAGAATGATATGGGGAAGAAATGAAAGCTTCTGGGCTGTCGTGGAGCCAAGTTGAAAAGACTGCAGAGAACAGAGTGAAGCGAATACGTGCTACTGAAGCCGTATATTCCACTAGGAACCCAAGGGAATTCTGTACTGTAAACATAATTATGGTTCGAAATAAAGTAAATACAGTATTATTGTTATTATTATTGTACCGAGTCAGGTCGAGCCAGGCCAGGTCGGATCAAATCAGCTTATTGTATTTAATTATACATCAACGAAATATAAAAAAAATTTCCATTTCAAACTTACCATATGGTGTACGTCCTAATCCATCTTTAGCATCTTTAGCATCATATCTATGTCCTGTTTTTGTAACTGAGAAATCAGCTGCTTGTATCAAAATTCTTGCTGTGCCTAAAGATAATTGACTAGCAGCTATATGCAATGGAGTTGCATGATCAATTAATTGTGATCTAGCATCAATACATGCACCACGATGAATCAATAAATCAGTAATCAATGGACAATCAAAATATGAAGCATAATGTAATGGTGTCATATCGGTCCATTTACATCTGGCTTCAATATCAGCTCCTTCATCTAGAAGATAACTGGCAATGCTAAACAATATGAAAAAAGGAAAATATTAGAAAAATTGAACAGATTAAAAAGAAGTGAAAATTTGGAAGAATTTAACAAATTAATAAAAAGTGAATAAATTTTTTTTTTTAAATCAATATTTTAATTCAATGAGGTAAAAGTTATTCAGCTTCCATTTTCAATTTATACAACTATATGATCAAAATGAACCTTATGGATGTGATTGGTGATTCAGTTGACCAATCAGATTTGTTCATCTAATTTATCTCCTGACACATAAAGATGTTACTTTTATTTGTGCACTAATTTATCCATGCTGGAGCAATAAGGGAGAGTTAATAAAACTAGCTATCAGAAGTTAAACGATTACTTCAACAAGATGATCAGTAATAATTTAAGATTAGAATACTAGATCAGTGTGTATCACAAAAATAATAAACAAATCTAGCGTGGATTTAGACGAGGATGTCAAAACCAGGATCGGAAAGACAGCAAGACGTCTTCATTAATCTCAAATAATCAGTGTGAAGATCTACTGCACTCAGTACAAAGCGTGAACAATATCCGGATTTTCAACACCAATGCCAGTCAAGTCAGTGCTGTTATATGGTTCACAAACTTGGCGTGTCACGAAAAGCATTTCCAACAGACTACAGACATTCATCAATAGCTGCCGACTACGCTCACACCATACTGACAATGAAGATCAGATGGTCAGAACAATAAGAATAAGCAGAAGAAAGTAGAGATGGATTGGATTGGGCATACACTGAGAAGGTCACTTGGGGACATCATGCGACAGACCACGTCAGGCCCTTGAGTGGAATCCAAAGGGGAAACGACGAGTTGGGCGTCCCAGCAGAAGGTGACATGGAGGAGATCATGTGAGGAAGAAATGAAAGTTTGTGGGCAATCGTCGTGCGAGGTTGAAAAGACTGCAGAGAATAGAATCCAGTGGAGGCGTGCTATCGAAGTCCTATGTTCCACTAGGAACCCAAGGGAATAATAATAATAATAGTCTGAATTCACATCTCATCACAATCACTAAGTGTGACTCGAATCTTTTCTCTACAGTAGTTTTACGTCCATGAAAATGGTATATGATATACTTCCTGACATTCCCACGGCGCAGTGAATTAAAGGCGAGTAGGGAGAGATCTCTGTTGTGTACTCTGAATACGTCTATGTACTTAGGTAAGTTAGTTAATGATAACGAAAGAATGCTTGCGATGTCTTTCACACTACCGTAATCCAAACTGTTACTCCAACATCGCTATTTTCTGATATCTTGTCTAAAAATAGACACTAAAATGGATCAGCGCAGTGACCACCTCACTGACTACACAAGACAGGTAAGCCATAGTTGGTTAGCGACAGATGAAATCTCAAGATCAATACAATATACTCAAACGGCTTTCGCCAACTCACACTATTTATAGCACCAATATCCCATCGCCTATTAACTCATCTATTCAACTATATAGGTGCGAATTATGGCCATTAAAGGTAGAGAACCTCGTACATAGGTAGATCAGCTCAAGTCGCCACACTTTACACTAGTATACAAATAACTGGTGGATACAAAATGACTGATATCCATGTAGACAAAGTTGAAAAGATGTCAAGGAGTGAGTACATCTGCACCACTGTAACTACCTTTTAGCAATGCCACCAAAAATTCTCAACCATTGATTTCTATCTCAGGCATTCTACATCTTCCAACAAGATTCAGACCAACAGTCATAGACTTCATCAACTGGTACCATGTCAGTTTCAGTTGAAAACTCATTCCTGGTCGTATTGACATATTCTGAGAAGAATGATTTACCAACAGTAGGGGTAATCTTGTCTGACAGTAGTTGTCTACTGAACTTTGTTTGAATGAGGAGAATAGTACTAGTTTAATTGTAGAAGTGAAAACTATTACCACTTCCATAGATGCATATACCTGATCGATATCAACCAGTTATTGATCAAATTCCTGAACGATTTACTTACTAACATGAAGTGTACGCCTTTGACTTCTCTAAACACTTAAAGTAGTTGGCATGAAAAATCATGAAACTATAGTTATATATGTTACTTTTCTTGTCCTCTTAACTGAACACTAATGTCATGTAATTACCTCGATATGAAGTTATTTCCATGTGTATATTATAGTTGGATTTTGTTTGTTTGTTTCCTTTATTTCTCCAGGTCCTATTTGGAGATGTCTTTGTAGCTATTGTTCGTGTATAGTGGAATTACTGCGTGAGTAATATTGAAGTCAGGTGAAGCGTAATAGACAAGAGAGGCAAGTTGATTGATGAGGTTGTGAACGTTAGTCGACTGACATGGTTTGGATATTCGCTGTGCATGACGAATCACCGCCTACCTCGATATTGAATCGTAGGGGAAGTTGGATTAGGATGGAAGAGAATTCAGGATGGGTTGAGCAAGACATGGCACCAGTCGTGTAGGGAGAGATGTTGACTACCTGACTGACTGAAGTCCTCGAGATGGATAAGAATCCATGATTGATGAAATGGTTAAAAATCTATGACAAAGTTTAAAGGTCTTGACTAACTTCTTCCTCTATACACCTTCACCTACTTCGATATCACTCTTATTCCGTCCATCTGTTCTGTGCAGATTACAGTCAAGTGTGACAAATTGGAACAATTCACTTGTATGTGAGTTATTTTGTGTTACTTTTCTCTATCTATCGACTTATCTTTGTCTCATACTTCAACGAACAGAGATCAATAAATTGGGTAAAACACAACAATCGACGAGAAAGTAGAAGAGCATGAAGAAATAATAATAGTAATAATAATAATGGTGATGGTAGTGGTATTAATGATTTATTATTTGTTCCTTGGGTTCCTAGTGGAACATAGAGCTTCAGTAGCACATCTCCTGTGCACTCTATTGCCGGCCGATAGCTACTACCTTGACGTGGTGGTCGGGCTTGCATATCACAATGACCCAACGAGCTATGCTGGTGGAACGCTTGTTCCCTCGAGGTCCTACCATACCAGAAAGGTCTGTTGGGTAGTGGTTAGACGAAAAGCAGTTACCGTTATAGTGTAAATTGCTACACTATGATGGGGGTCTGAGGGCGAAGTCGTACTGCTGCTAGCTGGATGGGGTGTGACAGCAGTAAGGTGTTTCCCTTGGATGACCAGCAGTGCCAAGCTGATGCTGCCTTCTCAGTGGAAGGGGGGGTTAGAAAAGGTCGGCCCCAAAAATAACACACTCCACCACGCCCCACGGTCTGCCGGGCCGGCGGTGTTGGTTCACTTGTCGTTTCCTTTCGACCATCCGGCCCCAAAAATACAAAAATTCAAAATAATCATACTCAAAAGGCTGGGTGTGACAGGCCTCAAGCAGATGTCCGATGGGCTCTGCGGTCACACAAATCTCTTTCAGGTACCTTAAGAAGAAATAGCCTTCCACGGTGTGGGCAGCCGGGAAGTGTCAACCGCCCTCACAACTCTGTCAGCACCCAAGTTTCTTCTGACTGCTATCCTCCTCCTCCATCATTACCTTCTAATCTTCCTTCACGTCTCTTAATTAATGATGCTGCATCATCTTCAATTTCTCCTACCTCTGCAGCCTTCGACAACGATCTGAGTCCACAGAACAGCATCCCTGGTCTCCTTAAACCACGCTCCAAATTACATATTGGAGCCTTCAATGTCCGCACCCTCCGTCAAATTGGCCAACAGGCTTCGTTGGCAAAGACTCTAGCAACTCGGGCATGGATGTGTGCTGTGTTTGTGAGACACGCATACAGGACCCAAGTGTGGTTATTCACCTGACCTCTCCTGACCAATCTGGTGAATCTGCAAAATTCACCCTTCGAGTTTCTGGAGATTCGATAGCTAGCTCTCGTGGTCTTGCAGGTGTAGGTATAGCATTAAGCACCAGGGCAGAAAACTCACTACTAGACTGGATCCCAGTTGATAGTCGCCTCTGCGCTATGAGGCTGAACGGCACAGTGAGAACTAAAAGGAATAGTGAGACTCGCCGTTGTCTCTTTGTAATCTCTGCTTACGCACCCACTGACTGTAGTTCGGATGAAGTGAAGGACGAGTTCTACCATAAACTGTCTAACCTCCTCTCGAAAGCCAAACGTTCGGACGTAGTGGTTGTTGCAGGTGACCTCAACGCACAGGTGGGTAGACTGAGTGAGGCAGAAAGGCACTTAGGTGGCACTTTCGGAATCCCAGCTGAACGTACAGATAACGGTGATCGCCTATTACAACTATGCTCAGATAACCGCCTATTTTTAGCCAGCACAAATTTCAGACATAAAGAAAGGCACTGTCTGACCTGGCGTCCACCGAGCTCGACTCAGCGATGGACACAGATAGACCACATTGCTATTAGTCATCGCTGGAGAGGATCGGTGGAAGACTGCCGCTCCTTCTGGAGTACGTGTTTGGACAGCGATCATGCGTTGGTCCGAGCACGTATATGCCTGCGTCTCAATGGACGTAGAAAAAATTTGGCAACAAAACCACTACGAGTTCTGCTGGACAACGAAAACACCAAAGCCGTGTTCAGTGAGAAGTTGGCTAGGCAGTTATCGGAACAAAAGACTGTCACTCATCCAGAAGAAGCTTGGTGCCATCTTCAGTCTACTGTAAAAGCAGCACTGGAGACTGTAGCCGACTCCAAGATAATGGCTAAAAAGAGCCAGTGGATATCAGCAGCTTCTTCCAAACTAATGGATGCACGTGAATGCATCCCTGCAGGCTCTGAGTACAATGAAGAGCGAGCGCAACTTAAAAATAAACTGACGAAAAGTCTGCGCAACGATCGTGAACAGTGGTGGGCAGCAAAGGCTAAAGAGATGGAAAAGGCAGCGGCGATCGGTAACAGTAGACAGTTATTTAGACTTATTAAGGAGACTGGGGGGAAATGGTCAACAACAGTTAGTGAGGTTATAGCGGAGAAGGACGGATCGGCGATTCACTCGCAGGGAAGGCGACTGGGACGATGGGCAGAACACTTTGAGGAACAGTTTAACTGGCCTCCAGCCACCATTGCGCTGCCCGCTATCCAGTCGGACCCTGAATGGGACATAGAGACAGGTCCCCCAACACTAGAAGAAGTTGAGAAAGCGGTAGGTAGCCTGAAACGGGAAGGGCAGCAGGACCAGACGGACTACCTGCTGAGGTATACAAGAATGGTGGTAGAGTTCTCTTAGTCAGGCTAACGGAAGTGTTAGCCAGTATATGGGAATCAAATACGATCCCCTCCGACTGGTCTAAGTCACTCATCATCCCAGTCTTCAAGAAAGGCGAGAAGTCCTCTTGTGATAACCACAGAGGAATCAGCCTGACAAACATAGTGTCTAAGATCCTAAGTTCTATAATTCTCCGACGCCTGAGTGGAGCTCGGGAACAGCAAGCCCGAGAAAACCAGGCAGGCTTTAGACCTGGCCGTGGATGTATCGACCAAATATTCACACTGCGCCAGGTCCTGGAACATAGGCATGCTTACAGACGCCCGACAATAGCTGTATTTCTCGACCTGAAGGCGGCATTTGACTCCGTTGATCGAGAAGTCTTATGGCAGTGTCTGTCACTGAAAGGCGTGCCTAGTAAGTACATCACCTTATTGAAAGCTCTCTACTCGAACACTTGTGGGCATGTTAGAGCCTATGGTGAGTTGTCCAGGGAGCTATACTCATCAAGTGGTGTCCGTCAAGGATGCCCACTATCCCCATTCTTATTTAATTTTATCATAGATATTCTTATGGAGGTTTCCCTCTCGTCACCTAATTACAAAGACGTTGACCCGATCACAGGTGAATTTTCCTTAGATCTAGAATATGCAGATGACATAGTCCTGTTAGGTGAAGACGCTGACAAGATGCAGAGTCTTCTGAACACTTTGAGTGGGAATTTGAGAATGTTTGGGATGCGATTTTCACCACCCAAATGCAAATTTTTGCTCCAGGACTGGTCTTCAGCGGTACCGCGGTTAACAATAGAGAGTGAAGTGGTTGAGTGTGTTGACCACTTCACTTACCTGGGAAGTAGGATCAACCCGGTGGGTTAGTTGCCGATGAGATTTCTGCACGGATACAAAAGGCTCGATTGGCTTTTGCCAATTTGCGCCACCTATGGCGCCGCCGTGATATTCGTTTGTCTATTAAGGGTCGCGTGTACTGCACAGCAGTCCGCTCTGTTCTACTGTATGGCTGTGAAACATGGCCATTGAAAGTGGAAGACATGAAAAGGTTTCAGGTGTTTGACCACCGTTGCCTTCGTAGTATAGGACGTATTCCGTGGTGTCACCATGTGAGTAATGCAGAAGTTAGGTGTAGAGTTTTAGGGAGAAGAGGTAAGTCAGTCGACGAGGTTGTGAACCTTCATCGACTGAGATGGTTGGGACACGTACTACGTATGCCTAGTCACCGATTGCCTCGTCACACAATGTTGGCTGAGGTGGGTTCAGGCTGGAAAAAGGCCCGAGGTGGCCAGACTAAAACATGGCACCAATGTATGAAGTCTCTGACTGTTGGTTTAAGCCATGTAGGACGATGCAGACTAGGTGGTTGGGGTCCACGGGACAAGAGGAACCAGTGGTTGGAGACCCTAGGTGATATGGCTCAGAACCGAAGTCAGTGGCGCAGATGTATACACACATTATCCTCATCTTAACAACGCTATACCGAATCTCACTATTTTGTCACTCCTCTTTCCTTTCTTCTCGTACTTTATATTTCTTTTGACTGCATTCACTTATCTTCATCCTTCACCTCACTACCTTTTTACTTGATGTGCTGATATGAGGTGTGGCAACTCGGACCGTTACGCAGTAATGCCTGGTCCTATGTTGGTTATGATGATGATGCTCTCTCTCTCCCTTCTATGCAATCTTTTGAACACGGCTCCACGACTGCCCACAAGCTGTCATTTCTTCCTCACACCATCTCCTCCATGTCACCCTTGCCTCAGACACCCAACTCGTCGCTTCCTATCTGGGTTCCACTCGACGACCTGACCTGGCACGTGATGTCCTCAGTCGGCCTTCTAAGTGTATGCCCAATCCATCCCCATTTCCTTGCAGTGCATATTTGTAGAGCGATAGGTTATTGCTTGGTTGGTTCGTTGCCAGGCCAGAGTTACTTGCTGCTTATTCTTATCATTGTGGCTATCTGATCTTCAGTAACTGACTTGACTGACGTTGGTTTTGAATATCCGGATAATAATAAATAATTGAAATTAGATTAAATTCATCCTACCAATAAAAGTTCTTTACATTGAATAAAAACAATTCAGTGGTAATCAGGAAAACTCATCCGTATATATACAAAATTCACAAGACTACTCAACAAATTCTAAAGGGAAAATTATTTTCATTAGTGGATTAATTTGAAATGGATAATAGTTAAAATCATTTTTTACCAAATGAAATTAATTTCAACTAACCGACAAGCAGCTTGTTCATCGCCTAATGCACCAGATTTTGCAGCAAAATGCAATAGTGTCATATCAGTTAGACCATCACGATCATCAACGTGAGCACCACGTCTAAATATCTAAATATAAATAAAGTTTTAAAGTTGACAAATAAGAAATACATTTAATAAACAATAACGATGATATACATTAACAAATAGCAATAATTATACATATAATTACACTTTTTTTTATTATCAGGAGAGTTTGTTACAATCAAGGTTAGTTAACATGATGACTAATGAATACAGATTTTGTTACTGGCTTAAACTTATTATCAGCAGTACATAAATCTGACTTCTCATAATCCATACCTCTAATTCTCAGTTGGTGAGAGAATAATCTTTGAGTAAGCATCATTATCATCATCCTCATCTGTCCCGCCTGTAGTTGAAACAGTTCTTCCTAGATACGTGAAGGAGGTTACTTCCTTTCAGTTTCTCCTGTTGATGATGACTGGAGTTTGTTGTTGTTAGAGTTGGAGTTGTTGGTGAGGTATCTTCATCATCTCTGTCTTCTCTATATTCACTTGAAGTTCCGTCTTCCTTCGCTGCCTAGCCTCTTCTGCCAACTTGTTAGTTTTCACCTGTACATCTTCAAGTTTGTGTGACATCAGACACAAGTCATCGGCGAAATCCAGATCTAGGTTCTTTTCCGCAGTCCAACGTATGCCCCTCTTCTCGCTCCCCACTGTTTGTTGCATGATCCAGTCGACCACAATGAGGAATATCATGGGTGATAGTAGGCGGGAGCCTTGTTTCACTCCTATCTTCACTTCAAAAGCATCACTGAGCTTCCTATTGTGAATTACTTGGCTGGTATGTGACGTCTTCATATAGTTGTTGAATTAGATTGATTAATACATAGCACAATTCTATTCAGTCTTTGAATGTTCATTTGAGCACTGTAAGGAAATGTCAACATCCCAGTTAGTGTACATGTGACAACCAAAGTCTGTGGTTGAAGACCCAGGGTGATATGGTTTGAAATCGATCCCGATGGAGTATATCCAGCGATACACCATCTTAATCGTTATATCGGACTTCATCTTTATCTTATCGACTGTTCTTCTTTTTTCATGATTTTCTACCATTTTTGATCACATTTAAATTTTATTGCAGTTATGAGGGCGTTTGACAAGTATCGGCTGACGACACCGTGGAAGGCCATTTCTATTTGAAGCATTTGAAAAGGAAGACATAGTGCATGACCATAGAACCCAAAGGACATCCTGTTTGAAGTTTGAAATGTTATTGTTTTAATTTTGAAGTCAATTATAAACCCAGGTAACAGATACCGACATCCTATGGGGCTCATCACTCAAGAGAATCACCTTACTGCTGTTACACGCCCATCCAACCAGCAGTATGACTTCGATCTCGGACCTTTAAGATAGTATCTTTTCGTCATTCAACAAACCTTTCTGGTATGCTAAGACCTCAAGGGAATAAGCTTTCCACCAGAATAGCTTATTTGGTTATTGTGAAATGTAAGACCAACCACCACTTCAAGGCAGAAGATATCGGTCGGTTCATTTGCCTTCATGTGTTGACAGCAGGTGTCTCAACGTGGGCCCTCACGGACTGCTTCCTGGTTGAATATTTATGCGTAATATGAATATATTTCTGTTGATTTATCTTTCAGTGGCACACATAGAACTGCTCATATAGATTATCACTTAGTATGACTATCAGCAAGTACAACATCTCATCAACAGAGTTATTGAGTGAAAACTGAAGCAGAATGAAAAAACAGAACAAAGAAACCTACCTCTTCAACTATTGTGATTAATTGTAATTGTGCATAAGGTGTCCATTGTCTTAGAATAGCGAACAGTTGTGGTATACTAAGATTAGTAGATGTTACAGACTCTTGACAATCTTCGCACCACCATGGACCAGGAGGCATTCGCATTACCCATGATCTAGACTCTTCTTCATCATCATGCACCATCATATCATCGGCTACATTATTCACTGGTGATCCCGTCACTGAATCATACTCTTTAGACATTTCTTCGTCAATAGCACGACAATTCTATGCAAATAAATCAAATCAAAGAAAACATTATACCCATGGTGGAGAATACTTGTAGCTCAGGTGGATGATCTTGGTTGTATTGTGTTCTCTGAGCCAGATGGGTTGTTTAGTCGTATAGCTTTTATCCTCTTGCTAGACGACATCATCAGCACTGAAGAAATTTTAGGCAGAGGAAATACAAAGAATATCAGGGAATCCCTGGAACCTTCAAATTCATGTCAGTCAGTCAGAAATCAATAGATGTATAGACATGATAGACACAATCTATCAACCAATCAGAAAAAAAAGATAAACGACAGAAAGGTCAGAGGAATAGCCAATAGGAAAATTTATACAGTCAATGACATAACAGTCAAAGGAAACGACCAATCACAAACCAGTTGGTTGGATCAAGCTACTAAATCACTCATGGAGAGATATTGACAGGTCACTTCATACTGAAGTTAATGGTGATGATGTTGTCTAGGTAAACGATGAAAGCTTCACCATTAAACAGTACAGAGAACACAATACAACCAAGACATTGTACCGATGTACGCTTTGCAAAAATACATTACTATACAAAAGAATGAGGAAAAAGAAGGTGCAATATCTAAATCAGATGGTTGGGTTACAGTTTGAGGTAATCGGCAAGAAGCCCCTGTCAACCTAGGTTTCGTGCTTTTTGGCACTCATCAGTACGGCGTATCTGCAACCTCGACGGAACTGATGTCCCGCCTGCGATTCGAACCTGCATCACCCAGTGTTGTAGTCATTGCGTTTACTACTGAGCTATTCGGGTCGCCGGTTCGGGTATCTCACAGAGGATATCAGTCCCGCTGAGGTTGCACGTATGCCTCGCTGATGAGTACCAACAAGCACGGAACCTAGGTTGACCGGGGATTTCTACCGATTGCCTCCAATTAAGTAACATCTACTAATGTGCACCGCGATGCTGAACCTGGTGACTACCTTGTAAATATGATCGATAGGATTCGATCTGCACTGAGGACTAGAAAACGTGAAAGTGGTTGCTCTCCCGTGACCAACCAGTGCGAACAATGATTGAATTAGGGAATCAGATGTACATGCTTTCCAAAATGAATCCGCCTGCTTCAAATATGCATCGAAACTAATAGCTGACTGACTGACAAAATCAATATACAACCTTCTACACAAGTTCATCGCTTCAAGTTGCCACACTTCACAGTAGTACACAAAGAACAGGTGGATAGAAAAGGAGTGATATCAATGTAGACAAAGTCGAGTGAGAGAATAAATAATTTGAAGATGACAATTGGTGCGAATACTCAGGCTTAAGATGTCAAGAAGTGAATACATCTGTGCCTATATCACCAACAGTCGTCAACTACTGGTTCCTTTTGTCTCAGAGACCTCAACTGGACAGTATACATCGGCCCACATGACTGATACCAACAGTAAGAGATATCATTGACTGGTGCCATGTCTTGATTTAGGCATTCTGGACCCTCTTCCAACCTAATCCAACTTCCCCTAGCATGGCACGTCGAGGTAAACAGTAGCAGCTCAGCATGCGCAGTATGTGTCCAAGCCATTTCAGTCGACTAAGGTTCATAATTATATCAATCGACTTTCCTGTCTTACTAAGTACTTTTTCATGTGACTTCAACATTCCTCACACGGTGATCTCACCAAACCCGAGCAGTGCTACGAAGACATCTGTGATCAAAACCCAATCACCGTTCAATGTCGTGTACTTTCAACAGCTATGTTTGACATCCACACAACAGGACAAGATGGACTACAGTGTAGTAAACATGTTCTTTGATAGATAGATACTCGGATATCTCACCAGTTGGTGCAATAGATGACGCAAAATGTGTTGCTACAAAAGCTCTAGATTTGTCAATCACTCAGGTCATCTGCTAAGCGCTATCGATTTGACCAATTCAAGTTGACAGAGATCGAATATACTACTAACCACTCTCTCCACTAACCCAGCGATCATTATATATTGTCAGTTTGTACAATACTCCCGTCTACTCTACATGGTAACGCACATATACACATCGACAGTTAAAGATTGAAAAAGAAAACTTCTCAGGGATAAAAATTCAAACTGTTTTTCTTCAATGAATATAAATTTCCTTGGGGTAGAATAAATTTTCCGTGCATAGTTTTAACAAGGCATTATAATCCATCCATAACAATCGTAACCTTCATGTGTACATTGTTTAGAGTATTGTATTCATTCAGTCAATTAACTGTTAACATAACTTGATTTCTTGGCTATTTTATCAATCAGTGACTATTGTCACCTACTTAGTACACATATAGACATAAAAGAATGAAAAGAAGGTCATTTTTCAAGATGTTGATTTCGATAAAAGAATACGCTTCTTTGAATAACGTTTTAAACTCATCTGCCTACTATATACTAGACATTTCTAATCGATTTAGCGTCCATCTGTCGCCAATAACTTCTCTAATGCCTTCAATATTCACCGGAAGAATAACTATTTTTATGCGGTCTACTTCAGTCATAAATCAACGTATGTTAATCCAGCTGTACAGAAAATCATTCACAACTGGAATAGGTCAGTCGCATGTTCCCATTAATGTAAGTGTAAAGCTTGAGGACTGCGGTACAATGTAAATTCCAGTTTAGATTTATTTATCTAACATAACCAGCATACAGTGTGTGATACAGTATTATTCACTGGATGACGTCAAGAGAACAAATCACTATCGCTCATAATCATATCAATGTGTCATCACACTCCACTCTCAACATCCAATCTTTATAGTCCTGTCACCTCCCTTATATTCTTTGCGTTAAGTGTTAGTAAAACGTTTTCCCCACACTTCTGGTATGCATGGGTGTTGCATCATTCCTACTCCACATATGTTACACGTTAATTGATTCGATGAATAAAGATTCACTACTCAATCTCTCTCTCTCATACACACACACACACACACACTATCTATCTATCTATCTATCTATCTATCTATCTATCTATCTATCTATCTATCTATCTATCTATCTATCTATCTATCTATCTATCTATCTATCTATCTATCTATCTATCTATCTATCTATCTATCTATCTATCTATCTATCTATCTATCTATCTATCTATCTATCTATCTATCTATCTATCTATCTATCTATCTATCTATCTATCTATCTATCTATCTATCTATCTATCTATCTATCTATCTATCTATCTATCTATCTATCTATCTATCTATCTATCTATCTATCTATCTATCTATCTATCTATCTATCTATCTATCTATCTATCTATCTATCTATCTATCTATCTATCTATCTATCTATCTATCTATCTATCTATCTATCTATCTATCTATCTATCTATCTATCTATCTATCTATCTATCTATCTATCTATCTATCTATCTATCTATCTATCTATCTATCTATCTATCTATCTATCTATCTATCTATCTATCTATCTATCTATCTATCTATCTATCTATCTATCTATCTATCTATCTATCTATCTATCTATCTATCTATCTATCTATCTATCTATCTATCTATCTATCTATCTATCTATCTATCTATCTATCTATCTATCTATCTATCTATCTATCTATCTATCTATCTATCTATCTATCTATCTATCTATCTATCTATCTATCTATCTATCTATCTATCTATCTATCTATCTATCTATCTATCTATCTATCTATCTATCTATCTATCTATCTATCTATCTATCTATCTATCTATCTATCTATCTATCTATCTATCTATCTATCTATCTATCTATCTATCTATCTATCTATCTATCTATCTATCTATCTATCTATCTATCTATCTATCTATCTGTCTACCGAATTATATTGGACTTCACTTCAGTGGTTTTATCCACCCCATTTTACTGTGTGATTGTGGGTTAATGCATCCATTGGAATAGCCAAATTTCCTTATAGATTACTGATCTTATTCCGGTCTGACATTCTGTATTAAGCTACATTGCTATGTTCGTCTGTTCGAACTGACCCCGACTGGCTAGCTTCACCTATGTACTTGACCTCAGTCATTGCATGGAATATGATACATTATTTTTTTTGTCCAGATTGGTTCTTTCGGATCCTTAAGCTAGTCGACGAAGCTTATCTCTGAGTGAGCTTGTAGGTTTAAATGCTACCTTAATTCCAGCTTTGTTGACGATTCTACGTAAAGTCTCTGATGTTCTTTCCTTTGAACTGATTTCTACTCATGTTACTGTCATTGTTTTGTCTTTTATGTGTTCATAAGGATTTCTTCATAGACTGTAGAGGATACTTATTAATTATTAAAGCTTCTTTAATGTGCTTCAATTTCGTGTTCAAGCTCTTCCACTGACCAGTGAGTTGTCTGTAATCTAACAACGCCTAATTCTCTACGTGCAGTATACGAACATAGGAATTTATTTCAAGTTATTATTCATTGTAGACTGACATCAGTTGGAGGGACAAAGGAAACCTGTGAGCATTGGATAGCTGTTTCGTTCTAGTGTGAGACTCCCCAACAGTGTGCACCCACGATCCCGCTCTCCAGGGATCGGACCCGCGACCTTCATGTTCCGTGGCCAGCACGTTACCATTGAGCCACTGGGTCACAATCCGATGGTCCATATTTCCAACTTCTGTCAGCTCACCATATAGCGCAGCCACCACCCAGTGTCATCGTTGAGTAACTGTCCTCATGACCGTCAGGTCTTGTCCCACATAGGGATTTAGCCAAATATATAGGATCAATAATTTAGAAAACAAACTTGGCTATTGCAATGCATGCAATAACACAACCACACAGTAGGGTGGGTGGGATAATACTACTGTACTCAATTTCAATATAATTAGATAGGTAAGTAGGTAAAGAGAGAGAGAGAGAGAGAGAGAGAGAGAGAGAGAGAGAGAGATTGCTTACTGAATCCTGGTTCGTCGAATTAACCAACACCCAATACATGTAATTGGGATGATGTAACACCTATACCAGAGATATGAAAAGACGTTTTACTATCACTAAAAGCAAAGAATATGAAGGAGACGACAGGACTATAAAAATCAGATGTCGAGAGAGTGGAGTGTGATTACACATTGATATGATAATGAACGATAATCAATTGCATACTCGAAAGGTGGTCGTTTAATGAATAATACTGTATCACAGTGTGTACTGACTGGTTATATCAAATTAACAAATTTGGTATGGGATAACTTTAGTACTGGCTGACACACATTTAAATCTCTAATAGAATATCCATTCCTTTCACGTTAATGACCAGTGCCAACAAACGGACTACCTAAGTTAAGCAGAGCTGACTTTCTGTCAATTACTTTCA